TTTGTGTGTGTATGTGTGTGTATGTGTGTATGTGTGTTTGTGTGTGGGGGTGCGTGCGGGTGTGTGTGCGCGTGCAATGTGTATCTATACGAGTAAAGGCCGAGAGGGTAACTAACTAAGAATAACACGACTAATAATTAAGAAAGGTCACACAATTCCGCGATGTAATCAGCACACGGGAAAGAAGCGTATTCGTATACAGAACGTGCTGTAAAGCCCTTACCGAAAGCTGCTGGGAGACACCCTTTATGTCGAAATCAACTCGGATTCGTCATTATTAATTATTCCAAAATAGCCAATATAAAATGTAGGCGGCAGCGAGTAGGATTACATAGCACCCCGAAGGCCGGTAAAACGTGGTGGCCATAAGCATATAAAACGGATGTAAAGTTTAAAAATATATAATTGAAAAAAGGGAAACCTTTTTAACAGAATAAAGGTATCGTCATCGTCACACGATTTCGTAGATCGACGGTGATATATTGCAAGACGATGTAGTTAATACGTCTCAAATCCTCCGATTAAATCTCTTTCTTTCTACATCTTCCCTCCCCCACTCTCTCTCTCTCTCTCATTTTCTTTCGCGTTCTCTCTCTCTCTCATTTTCTTTCGCGTTCTCTCTTTCTCTCTCTCTCTCTCTCTCTCTCTCTCTCTCTCGCTCTCTCTCTCGCTCTCTCTCTCGCTCTCTTTCAACGCATACTATCCTATAATTTATACGCATAAATTTACAAGCGCAGGTGTGCTGTTGTTCTGTTGATCTAGATCAAAATATCGATCAGTAAGAATGCGAACGCGATGAACTGTTGCTATTATTTCTAGCCGCTGTTCTGATATTTGAGGAGGCTGTTTGGGACTAGATTGAAATAATAACGTCGTTTATGCGCGACATCATTAAAACGGAATTCAAATGTATGTGATATGTTTTAATGGCTCAGGATAGCTTCATTGATGCAAGCGTGAAGGCGCTATATAGTGTATGCAGTGTGCGACGGTCCTATACTAATACTGATATATACGACAGCATATATATTGCACGTTAATGCGTGAATAAGTTATATTAGTTTTCGCCCTATAGCTCCCCTGCGGGAGCATACCCACTACGCACGCGAGTCAATGTTTATCCAACGCCGACATGACAGTGTCTTGCCGCCATGACAGCGTCTTGTCGCAATGACAGCGTCTTTTCGCCATGGCAGTCTCTTGCCGCCATGACAGTATTTCGCCGACATGACAGTCTCTTGCCGCCATGACAGTGTTTTGCCTCCATGACGGTGTCCTGTCGCCATGACAGTGATTTTGCCCGACTTCGCGCCCGGCGTTGCCGCGGGGTAGGCAGCAACTGTACGCGCGCCGATTGACAGAGTTGTGACTATCTCGGGATTATGGCGTCGTTTACGTCGTAAGTGCAAGCACGCTGTCAGACGCAGGCGACGGCTGCCCGCATCACGGCGCACGTGAAGGCGCTAAGCCCGAGCAAAGCGGCGCGCGGAAGTCGCATCGAATATGATTTCGCACGCGATAAACACTCGCGGATTTGTTTCGCAGAGAAGAAGAGCGAAGAGCGGCCATGCGCGTTAACTAATGGATAATTAGAGCGCCAGGAGCGATTCGTGATGAAGAGATGGGGGACTGAGAGAAAGGGAGGGAAAGAACGGGCGCGCACGAGGAAGAGGACGAGCGAGATAGAGAAAGAGTTAGAAAGCGTATCGTTTCCCGTATCGTGTATAGTCACGCTGCAAGCGCCATACGCACATAACGCACATACGCAGATAAACATACATAGCGTATATATATATATATATATACGCTATGTATGTTTAT